CCGATTTATGACCCAAGTTCAAAACCAGGTTGTTTCCTCAWGGAACAAAAAACATTCATTGTTTCTGATGATCTGAAAGTAAYAGTTTCACCATCTACATCTATAATTTCTATGTTGAACACAAATGGCATTCCTGATGTGGAGGCTGTGGAAGTGAGCATCGGTAAACAAGAGGTAAGCTATATATCATTTAGAAACATGAATGATAAGTACATTTTGTAGTTAGTTTTATATGCGTTACTTGATTATGCAGGCACTTGCAATTCTCAAAGCTTCACTAACCTCGACATCAGTTTTAACTGATTGCCTCATTGCATTTACAAGGAAACGAAAGGCAGAACCGTGTCTTGAATCCCCAATATAGGTGTTGCTGATAGATCTAGTCATGATATTTYTGTTTTGTGTTGATATTGATGTTAATCCTTTACACTGGTGCATTCCAACTTTGYGTACTGTCATTTGCAAAGCTATACTTGAATGAAATTTATCAGTGGATCTTTATCGTTAAAGTGATTTTAGTTCAGAAAAACCTAGATGAAGTGACCATGATATATATGTTTTAGTACATATACACACACACACATATATATATATATATACATATTTATATATATATATACTAGAATGGTACTCGCGTAATGCAGCGAGATACATCTTGATTTTAATGTTTTGTTTTATAGTTTGCTCCATCTACGATACGATATTGGTTTCACATGATCAGATGCGTATAAGTAGACTTAACGGTTCTATGTTTTCTCTCCTTTTCAACTTGGTCGATGGTACGAGAAATCGTCCCCCATGAGCCAGGGTTTGCCGTTGTTTGGTGGTGCTCCAATTACAATCGAGAAAAAGGTTTGCTCTATCTTTGATACGATATTGGTTTCACATGAGATTTTTGTAGTTGTTAGATCAGATGCGTATAAGTAGAATTAGTGCATGGTATTGTTTAAAGGATCTATTGACCACAAAGGTTAAATTGTCCTTGATGCAAAACAAACAAATGGAGCCTCTAAAATAAAATGGTTGCATTGGTATTTATGGGAATAGTCTTCTTTTTTGTTTGTTTCTTTAACAACCTTAAATTTTTATTTGAGTTTTGTATATTTGGAATGGTCCTGTTTTTGTTGAATTTTTAGGCTTCCTCTAAAACCGATCTTTTTCTCTCTTTTCACTGCGTTCTTTTTAAAAAATTTACAGTACATGGGCTCTTTTTTGGTTGTGTGTTTCCTCTATGATTCGATATCGCTTTTCTTTTGGTTGTGGCCAAAATGGGCCCATGCCCAGCCCGAGACTGGTAAGGTCCAGTTATTGACCGACAGTCCGAGGCCAGTTACGGTTTTTATGAAAACTCAAGGCCGGCCTTGCTCGAAGACCAAGTATGGGACTTTCGAATATGTCATAAACTGATCACACTTTTCTTGACTCATAGAAGTAGTGAAGACTTATTGCCTGGTATTGTTTAAAGGATCTATTGATTTCTAATATGATTGGTTTATTCTCTGTTCATTCGGATATGTGTGTTTAGATAGTACGATGATGTAAAGGTTATAAGTTATTCATACTTGATGGGGATTTCAAGATTTCATTCTTAAAGTTTTTTAAATATTACAACACTAAACTTAAAAAAATGTAATTATAGAAACATTTATAACTTTTTTGTGTGAAAAAGATTTAAAAAATATTTTAAGTGTATTTAAATGACCCATTAGAGATTTTAAAGAAGATTTCAGTAAGATATCATACATAAAAAATTCTTCAAACAAGTTTTTTTTATGTTGAAAGTTAAACTTTGATGAAAAAAATTTAGGACCAATTTGGCTAGTCCGAGACCAGTTCTAGGGGCCGGGATTTGTACATGGAGAACAGGTCGGATGTTCTTGGTCGGGACTGCATCGTAGATGTTAAATTATATATGTTTCTATTAATCTACTATGTTATCTGTGTTCAAGTTTTACYATGATTTTACTAAGTAATCATCCTAAATAATGTGTAGCTAACTGTACTGCATATCATTGGCAATGGCGGCATAATAAATATGTGAAAGCGGAAACCGGGGTAAGAATCAACAAAGTTATCTTTGTTTCTTTCAATCTACTATGTTATTTGTGTCCAAGCTTTATCATGATTTTACTAAGTAATTATTCTAACTAATGTGTAGCAGAATGGGTTTATGAACGTTTTGCTTGCAAAAATTACTATTTTTTTTTACTTTTATACTTTTATGGATTTAGCTTCTTTATCGTCCACCAAAGACGCTTGGATCAAGCGACATCGGCGGTTGAACTTGGGATGAAGTAGCTACTGCCTCCAAATTGTTACCACTACATTAAAGTTGGGTTTATAGGACACTCCCAATTTTAATCATCCTAATAGACCTTTTTATATGACTTAATTTATAGGACAAAAAAATAAAGTGTCCTATCTAAAGACGTTGTAATAAGTTTATATGACGTTTTTTAACGTCGCAATAAGTTTTTCAGGACACTTTTAATATAAAACGTCCCATTAGCAACTTTATAGGACACCATTTGAAAAACTGTCTTATAAAAACAAGTGTCCTATAAAAAATGAGTTTATAGGACACTTTCTAAAAAATGTCCTATAAAGTTGTTAATGCGACACTTTGTATTAAGAATGTCCTAAAAAACTTGTTAAGACACCCAAAGCGTCATATAAACTTATTTCAACACCTTTAGATAAGACGCTTTATATTTTGGTTCTATAAATTAAGTCCTATAAAGCGCTCTATTAAGACGCTTAGAGATTTGAGATGTCCTATAAACTTAATTTTGTTGTACAATGGAGGTAATTCTCACTATATTTAGTTCTAATAATTCATGTAATATATTTGGATATTTGCCCTTTGTTTGGATATGTTCTATTATTCAATATTAATGAAATGTCTACAAGTCCTCCATTCAGTAGCTGCAAAACTAACAAAGGGGCAATGAGTTAACCCAATGAATTGTATAGAAAACAAAGCCCGGTCTAAAGGCATTTGTTCCTTTTCCTGGTCTGCTAAACATGGGGATGTTCAAAAAAGCCGTTGAGCAGTCTGACAGTCCGGTCAGGTTTGGAAAATAGCAAAACCGGGCGGTCCGGTCCAGTCTGCAGTTTGGAACCTTTTTTGGGCGGTTTGGACCAAACCGACCGCCAAATACATNCCGGGGTAAGAATCAACAAAGTTATCTTTGTTTCTTTCAATCTACTATGTTATTTGTGTCCAAGCTTTATCATGATTTTACTAAGTAATTATTCTCACTAATGTGTAGCATAATGGGTTTATGAACGTTTTGCTTGCAAAAATTACTATTTTTTTTTTACTTTTATACTTTTATGGATTTAGCCTCTTTATCGTCCATCAAAGACGCTTGGATCGAGCGACATCGGCGGTTGAATTTGGGATGAAGTAGCTACTGCCTCCAAATTGTTACTACTACAATAAAGTTGGGTTTATAGGACACTTCCAATTTTTAATCATCCTAATAGACCTCTTTATAAGACCTAATTTATAGGACCAAAAAAATAAAGTGTCATATTTAAAGGCGTTGTAATAAGTTTATATGACGTTTTGACGTCGCAATAAGTTTTTTAAGACACTTTTAATATAAAGCGTCCCATTAGCAACTTTATAGGACACTATTTGAAAAATTGTCTTGTAAAAACAAGTATCCTATAAAAAATGAGTTTGTAGGACACTTTCTAAAAAATGTTCTATAAAGTTGTTAATGTGATACTTTGTATCGAGAATGTCCTAAAAAACTTATTAAGACGCCCAAAAACGTCATATAAACTTATTACAACACCTTTAGATAGGACGCTTTATATTTTGGTTCTATAAATTAAGTCCTATAAAGCGCTCTATTGAGACGTTTAAAGATTGGAGATGTCCTATAAACTTAATTTTGATGTACAATGTAGGTAATTCTCACTATATTTAGTTCTAATAATTCATGTAATATATTTGGATATTTGCCCTTTGTTTGCATATGTTCTATTAATATTAATGAAATGTCTACAAGTCCTCCATTCGGTAGCTGCAAAACTAACAAAGGGGCAATGAGTTAACCCAATGAATTGTATAGAAAACAAAGCCCGGTCTAAAGGCATTTGTTCCTTTTTCTGGTCTGCTAAACATAGGGATGTTCAAAAAAGCCGTTGAGCAGTCTGACAGTCCGATCAGGTTTGGAAAATAGCAAAACCGGGCGGTCCGGTCCGGTCTGCAGTTTAGAACCTTTTTTGGGCGGTTTGGACCAAACCGACCGCCAAATATATAGATATATATATATATATATATATCTATATCTATTTTAATATTAGCAAGCTCAACTTTTTTAACTTATTGGCTATGATCCAGATATATCCCTAAGCCTAACATTTAACATAATCAAAATCGACGACTAAAGCCATTGAACATATCGACACACATTTGATATTGACGGTMTCCAAATTTTGAAATTACTCAAGAACTCCATCAATCTATTAATCTTTCTAATCCATGGTTTGATTTTGGCGCAAATCATCATGACATCAACCAAGTGATTCAACCGACTTAGACTTGGCTTCTATTTTGTTTGGGATCTACATAGGTTATTTTGGTTTATCTTTATCTGTTTCTTTGTATACTAGAATGATTTTATAAATGAATCCGTTTGAGGAGAGGCTGACGTCTGTTTAGCTTGTCTGATTTGATTAAGAACAATTACCCACCCATAGACTAGCACACATCACCCAAGAATCTGAGTAAGGTATCTGGTTGGGTGTTCTACAAATCATGGTATGGCATATACTTTGTCTGAATGGAAACTTAACTTGATTTCAAACCAACATAGAAAGTTTCTTCTAGTTTTGCTTCACTTATGAATAAAGTGATGAGAATCTTAGTTAAAGTGTGAGTCTGAAAACTGGAAATCCAGTTAAACCTGAATCACATTTCAATCTTTCGCGGTCTCAATCAGACGCTGAGACACGAAAAAGGTGGTTAACTTGATCACAGACCGATGGGAAGCAATGCGAAATCAGTTCGCCTGAAAGTATTCGTGGACAAAAAGAAGAAAAAAGTGATGTTTGCGGAAGCAGGTCAAGACTTTGTCGAAATTCTCTTCAGTTTTCTCACTTTGCCTCTGGGAAAAATCGCAAGACTCTTGACCAATCACGAGGACGGAAAGAATGTAAATGTTGGAAGCTTGACTTCTCTATACGAAAGTGTTGTGAATCTTGACATCGAGCGTTTCTCCAACGACGAGTGTAAAATTGCGTTGGTTAATCCAAGAAATTCATTGGCTGATCTTTGTCAGAAACTGAAAGTAAACCTAAACGAGATGAAGCCAACCATCGATGATTCTAACGACGATGATTATGGTGATGCAGTGTTGATCAAAAAGAAGGGATCGTTCCTCATCACGGATGATCTCAACATTATACATGTCTTGCTCGACAAAGGCATCGAACTCTTTAACACTCTTGGTGTAGATTACATTGATTTGCTAGATGAGAGAACCGTGGTTTTCGGCTTGGAAAAGGTAAGATTTTGGTTAAATTATCGGTTGGAGTCTCACGTCACCTAGCACTGTAACAAAATCAGGTTTATAGGATGCTAAGAATGTATGAGTCTCATAATTGATCGTTTTATAGATCTTAAGTTCAATAATACGTCTTATGTAAAATTGTTAGTAATAAGTGTATACGACGTTTTTGGGTATCTTAACAAGTTTTAAAATGAATAGTCACATTAGCTATTTTGTAGAACATTCTGAAAAATGTTCTATAAACACATCTTTTTATATGACGCTTGTTTTTGTAATACACTCTTTCAAATAGCATCATATAAAATAGTTAATACGACGTTTTATTTTAAAAGTGTCCTAAAAAGTTTGTTAAGACACCCAAAAGCGTCATATAAACTTATTGCGACACTCTTAGATAAGACATCTGATCCTATAAAATGAACTCCTATAAAGTAGTCTATTGGGATACTTAAACATTTTTGGCGTCTTGTAAACCTAGTTTTGTTGTAGTGTAGACACAGTCCATYTAGGCTCTATATTTGTCTGGATTTAAAGGGGTTCCACATATTMTAACAGTTTCGTTYTGACACCGGCTTCAATTACTATTTCAGTTTTCAAATCTACTCAAGTGGTCATTGTTAACAAATAATCCTYTGACGAATCTCGTTCTTGGAGGAAGTAAAACRTTCCCGTGTTCATCGTGCATCACGAATTCGACACCRAGTAGTTCACMTTTGCCKTCRAGTGAATCGGTCCAGCCTCAGACGATGAAACTACTCGTCCAGAAATCAAAGAAGAAGGTCTTATGTGCACAAGTCGAGAAGTTTTTTATAGAACTGCTCTTCAGCTTTCTAACGATCCCGTTGGGTGCTGTAAACGTTTAACGATGGATAATTCTTCTCCGATGGCTATAGATAATCTGTACAATAGTATTTCGAGTTTAGGAGATTGTAACTACTTGAAATCTGAGGATGTCAAGACCATGTTACTTTCCCCGACGATTGCAGCTAATTATCTTCGTGTGACGGATTTTCTGCCTATTTACGCAGCAAATACACGGTTAGGTAGTTTCACGCAGGGGCAACCAACGTTCATCGTCTCGGATGATCTCGAAGTATCGCTCCCACCGTCTATTTCTACAATTTCAAAATTCTACACTCTTGGCATTCCTGTTGGTGATATTGAGGTTCTGGAAGTGAGCATTGGTGAACAAGAGGTAAAATTTTGAAATTAGCTCAACTGACAATAAAGTTTGGCCTTCTAGAGATCTTTTACAAAGGTCACTGGTTCGAGCCCTACAGGGTCACTGGGATTTTCCTGGTTGGTTGTTCAGTTCTTTACGGCCTTGGGATTAGCCGAGGTACGTGCAAGTTAGACCGAACACCCACGTTTAACAAAAAGAAATTCTAGTACTAACGTAGAGAATAGAGAGAACGAACTATAGATTGAGAAAGTCGCAACTTCTTACATACGCCACACACTACAAAAAGATGGGCGTTTTGGGATGCTGAACTGTCCTTGGACATCTTAATAGAGTATTTAATGAGATTATTATATAAAATCGTACAATTTCTTTTATTTTCAGTTCTATTATTTATTGTTTATACATCTAACCGAACATCTGTATTTGTTTGATTATGTAGGCACTTTCGATTCTAAAAGCTTCTCTCACTTCGACATCAACTTTAACCGATTGCCTCTATGCATTTACGAAGGCATAACCATAGACTTGAAGGTATAAATTTATCTATGACGGATATGATAATGACATTTAAGGTCCAATTTGGTTTGCAGAAATGAAATGGATTTGGAGGATTTGGATTTCAAATCTATTATTTATCAGTTTTTGTTAACAAATATGTTATGGAAGTTGAGTTGGTTTTATATTTCGATAAAGTCAAATATTCTTATSTATTTTGTTCTAAACAAAATTTATCAGTTTTGGTTACAAGTATGATATTTTTACTTCATCGATATCTATACTATATTATAAAACATTTGACAAAAACTCTTAAAAACCACTTTTTATGCATGAAGTACTGTTTGTTGATGTATATTACTTAAAATTCAAGATTACAAATAACTTGTGCGTAAGTACAATTTATTAAAGCTTCATGTTTAAATTCGTATAACTAACTTCAGATAAACGTAATCAAATAAATTTTGTGATCAGGAGTCAAACCTGCTAAGAACCCTCCCGTCTTTTTTCTAGTTGATTGCTACGCAAAAGAATAGTGGAATTTCTTTGTTCATTCTTTGCTTTATATATCCATCCATAGAAACAAACTACGCATTGGATGGATACGTCTTGTCTAAATGAAGAGTTTGTATTATATATCGTACAACAGTGTTTTTCTACCAAGACATAATATTGGATCAACGTATTTGAATGTGAACTCAAAAAAAGTGAAGCAGTCAAGTTTAGATGAACGTTTAAAGGTGTTGTTTAGTTAGTTTTTCATTAAGCCATGCATAGATAAAACTGTATGTATGGATTCATACGTCTGTATAGAATAAAAATGTTTTTGTTTGAGAGAGATTATTTATAGATAGAGGGGACATGTTTTCTAATTATGAGGAACATATTTGAAAAAAACTTGACTTTCTGCATAAAATTTACTGAATAAGTTATATTCTATGTCATTAAATCACTAGTAAACAGTCATATATACCTGATCAAATAATTTGTTAGTCACATTAAGTCCATTAAGCTACTAACAAACAAGCCCTAAGTCTTTTTTTTACCAAAGTAAATACTATTATTAATTTTCAAAAAAAAATGTTCACTAGATATACTGCAATAACAAATATTACTTAAGACAAAATGCATCAAAATGTAAATGAAAATTATCTTCATTTTTATTTAGTGTAAAAGATAATTTTTTTTTTCTCTCAATTAATGTAACAACGTTTCAAAATTTTCCTTTTTGTACTGATTTTAAAAGGTAGCAGAACGATCTTATAATATCAGACGACATGTATGCCAAGCTTATTATTTGATTCGTCGTAATTCTTTTATAAACCAGTATYTCTGTCATAAAATTTTACAGGATTAGCACGCTACAGTAAAAATATGAAATTATGAAACTTAACGAGACTTTACTAAAACAAACTTTGTTAGAGCATCTCCAACAAATTTTCTAATTTAAAGAAAGTGAAAAACTATTTTAGAGATTTTTACTTTTGATTATTATCTATTTTAGATAAATTACAGAGAATATGTTGGAGAGTGTTGGTCTCGTGAGGGTCTACAAGAAGAGAAATGTTATAACCGGGTTTGAGACAACCTGGGTTGAGGTAATTTATACATGTTTATTATATGGATTACGTGAAATATGCATATCTAAGTAGAAATGCATGAACCATATATGTGAACGTGATATTGTGCATGCATATACGTGAAAAGATGGCATGACATATATAATTTATACATGTATGCATGTGGTGTTAAGCATACATGAGGTGGTGCTTATTGTGATAACTATTCGGGTGAAATCATTATATCTTTATGGTTAAGAAATCATGAATTTTATAATGATTTATCCACCACCCAAGATTATTTCTATTGGAAGAAGCTTTCACCGCCTATGA